CCCCGGGTCATGTGTCCCATGGGGACAGTAAATGTGCAACTGGAGGCAGTCGGGTGCCGCCACATTTAAGGTAGAGAGAGGGGGAGGGGAGGGGAGCTCTGCAAGTGAAACAGAACAGAGGCTCCCGACAGGACCTGGGTCAGCTTCCCCGCACCGTCCTGGGCCGAGGACCGTTCAGCGAGGCCGCCCCGTGGCCTGGCCCTGGCTACCATCACGACACACTTTCTCCCCATCATGGTGGCCCTTCCTCCAGGCTTTCTACTTAAGACTCTGATGAATTACAGTGACTATCTGGTCTAAGACCTCAAAAAGGACATTTCTATTGTAGAAAGACTTCAACTCTTTTTTAAAAATTTATTTTTATTGTTTTCAGATAGGAAGGGTGAGGGAGAGAGAGAGAAACATCAATGATGACAGAGAATCATGGATCAGCTGCCTCCTGCCTGCCCTACACTGGGGATGGAGCCCACAACTAGGGCATGTGCCCTTGACCAGAATAGAAACCAGGACACTTCAGTATCCAGGCCAATGCTCTATACCCGTGGTTGGCAAACTGTGGCTTGCAAGCTACATGCGGCTCTTTGGCCCCTTGAGTGTGGCTCTTCCTAAGCCTTAGGAGAACCCTAATTAAGTTAATGATGTACCTACCTATATAGTTTAAGTTTAAAAAATTGGACTCTCAAAAGAAATTTCAATTGTTGTACTGTTGATATTTGGCTCTGTTGACTAATGACTTTGCCAACCACTGCTGTATACTGAGCCAAACCAGCCAGGGCAAGACTTCAACTCTTGAAGACCTGTTCCGTGACTCTGGCCCTTTAAGGAGACTATTATCACAGGCCTGCAGACCAGCCCTGGGAGCCATGGAAACATAAGAATGTTTGGTTTCCTTATCTCTGTTACAGCTTGGCAGTGGCTACCATTTGTACCTCTGAGACGTTCTCCTCTTGCCTTTTTGTATTGGTTGGGTAATCATTGCGCTTTATTCTTCACCCTGGTTAAGAAAGCCCTGAGATTTATTGGGGGGGGGCAGCCCATCACTTTATTTAATGCTTTTATTTGCTCTGTGAACAGGTAAACGGTCATCAATGGTCTTACAGGAGAGATGAACCCAGGCCACCTTCCTTCCTTCCTTCCTTCCTTCCTTCCTTCCTTCCTTCCTTCCTTCCTTCCTTCCTTCCTTCCTTCTCTCCTTCCTTCTTTTTTCTTCCTTTCTACTTTCTTCCTTTTCTTTCTTCCTTCCTTCCTCCCTTCTTTCCTTCCTTTCTCCTTCCTTCCTACATTCTTTCCATCTTTCCTACCTTCTCTCCTTTCTTCCCTCCCTTCCCTCCCTCCTTCCTTTTCTTTTCTTCCCAAATGATCCCCCTCCCTTTCTTCCTTCCTTTCTTCCTTTCATCTTTCCTTCCTTTCTTTCTTCCTTCCTTCCCTCCTTCCATCCTTTCATTCTTCCCTCATTCCTTCCTACCTTCTCCCCTTTCTTTCTTCCTTTTTTCCTTCCTTCCTTCCAGACATCCTTCTTTTCTTCTATCCTTTTTTCCTTGCTTCCATCCTTTTTTCTACCTTCCTTCCTTCCATCCTTCCTTCCATCTTTCCATCCTTCCTTCCACCAATCCATCCTTCCTTCCTTCTATCCTTCCTTCCCTCCATCCTTCTTTCCTTTTTCCATCCATCCTTCCTTTCTTCTTTCCATTCATCCTTCCTTCCTTGCCTGCATCCTTCCTTCCTTCCTTCTTTTCATCATTTCTTCCTTCCATCCATCCTTCCTTTCTTTCTCTTCCTTCCTCCTTCCTTCTCTCCATCCACCCATCATTCCTTCCTTTCTTTCAACCTTCCTTTTGTCCTTCCTTTCTTCCTTTTTTTGCTTGCTTCCTTCCTTTTTTATAATATTTGTCTTTTTAAAAATATGTTTTTCTTGATTTTAGAGAGAGAGGGGAAGGGAGAGGGAGACAGAGAAACATCAATGATGAGATAGCAACATTGATTGACTTCCTCCTACATGCCACCTATTGGGGATTGAGCCCGCCACCCAGGCATGTCCCTGACTATGAACCTCCTGGTTCTTAGGTCAATGCTCAATCAGTGAGTCACACTGGCCTGTCTGAATTCCATCCCTTTTCAAGGCTGAGTAATATTCCACTGCGTGGATAGACCACGTATTGTCTATGCACTCATCCGAAATGAACATTGGGTTGTTTCCACCTCTTAGCTATTGTGAATAACGTTGCTATGAGCATGCGTTTGCAACTATCTGCTTGTACCCCTGCTTCCCTTTCTTTGGGGTATAAATCCAGAAGTGGGGCTGCTGTACCAAATGCTAATTGTATGCTTCGTTTGTTTTGAGGAGTCTCCATACCATTTTCCACAGCAGCTGCACCATGTTATACTCCCATCAGCAATGCACAGTGATTCCATTTCCTCCACATTCTTGCCAAAACTTGCTTTTTTGTTGTTGTTGGTAAAGTATCAGCTTTTAAAGGTATTTAATCACATCGAGGTAAAGGTGACAAGGAAGCAAGTATTTTTTTTAAGCAAGTATTTTTTATTTTCCCATATGCTGTTGTCCTTCAAGATTCACTTTATTTTTTTAAAAAAAATATTTTTATTGATTTTTTTTTTTCAGAGAGAGAGGAAGGGAGAGAGAGGAGAGAGAAACATAGAAGATTGGCTACCTCCTGCACGCCTCCTACCAGGAATCAAACCCACAACCCAGGCATGTGCCCAGACTGGGAATCAAACCAGCAACCTTTGGGTGCATGGGATGATGCGCAACCAACTGAACCACACCAACCACGGCCACTTTCATTTTCAATAGGACATAGAGAAGGCCACATATGGCCAGCATTAAAACTAACATGGGATTTGTGTTTTCATTGATACTCTTTTTTCATTGTTGTTAATCCTTACCTGAGGATATTTTTCCCATTGATTTTTAGAATGGAAGAGAGGGAAGGAGGGGGGAGAGAGAAAAGAGAGAGAGAAACATTATGAGAGAGACACATCATTTGGTTGCCTCCCATATGCTTCTTGAACAGGGCCAGGGATCAGACCTGCAACCCAGGTACATGCCCTTGACCGGGAATTGAACCCGAGACCCTTCAGTGTGCGGGCTGATGCTGTAACCATTGAGCACACCAGCCAGGGCTCATTGATACTCTTTTGATGTGAATAAATGCCACTCGATATTAGGACTGCCAGAAAGCACAGTGTCAACAGCAACGGCTTAGGAGACTGGGTGGGCTGTTTATATCTGTGGGACCTTGAGTAGGTTACTTAACCTCTCTGTGCTCATCTATAAAATGGGATCACCACTGTCTGTGTCACGTTGGGCGGTCACGAGGACTGAAGGCGTTAATATTCATACGGTGCTTGAAGTGGGCACGGCCCATGCAGAGCACAGGGTACAGGGAAGAAGTCTTTGGTGCGGGGAGGGCTTTGCCGGGCTTGGTTCCGAGACCCGCCCTCTACCTGACCACAGCTCTCCCACTGCAGGGGTTCCTCTCTCCTGGTGGACCGTTTCCTGTTAGCTGCACCCTCCCCTCCCGTCCACGTTTCCCGCTGCTCCGAAGATCGCCCGCCGTCCGATCTCCTGAACATGCCCCTCCCAAAGGACTACTGGTAAAATGTCTGAATCAGATACACGGGGTCTTTCCATTTGGTCTTGAGGAAAGACAGGTCCCCAGGCCCCAGGTGCAGACACAGACCCACCCAAACGTCCCCCGGCTGCCAGCACAACCTTCTCCTTCCGGACTCCCTCACTCGGCCAAGCCCACCGGGCTTGGTCCACTCCCTCAGCCTCCGTTGGCAGGAGGAGGCATTATGTCTGCAGCGTGAGGTCGTCAGACTGGCCGTCAACCCACCCCATCTTGGGAGGGAATGTCCCCAGGGGTGACACGTAGATGGCACGTTCCCCTGGGGACAGTGGGGCAGCCGATACTCCGTTGGGCATGTCAGGCTTCCCAGCAGGGAGCTAGGGTTTGGAGGTGCCGAGCAGCATCTGCCTGGGCAGCTGCCTGTGGGATCCTTTCTGGGCGGACCCCGCCTCCTTCCCTTGTGTTAATCAGCAGAGAGGGGCCTGGGAACCTCACTTTCTGGTTAGCCCAGCAGCTGCTCCCAAGGATTCAAATCAAAACAGATCCAGCCCTAGCCAGTGTGGCTCAGTGGATAGAGCGTCGGCCTGCGGACTGAAGGGTCCCGGGTTCAACTCCGGTCAAGGGCACATGCCCAGGATGTGGGCTCCATTCCCAGTGGGGGGACGTGCAGGAGGCAACCGATCAGTGATTCTCATCATTGATGTTTCTCTCTCTCCTCCCTTCCTCTCTGAACTAAAATATATACAGTGGGGTCTTGACTTACGAGTGTCCCGACTAACGAGTTTTTTGAGATACCAGCTGTCTCTCGGCTGATTTTTTGCATTGAGTTGATAGAGTAATTTGAGTTAACGAGCTCCTTAACAAGCTCAGTCTCGGAACGAATTAAACTCGTAAGTCAAGGCCCCACTGTATGTGTATATATATATATATATATATATATATATATATATATATATATAGCGAGAGAGAGAGAGAGAGAGAGAACACTAATTAAAGGCCAATATGTACGTAGACCTCTTAAATATGTGGCTTAGACAAGAAGAACAAGGGGACAGGGCTAGCTAGCACTGCTACCCGTGGCTCACGGCGTCTGTTTGTTTTTTCTCTCTGCTGCTGCCTCGCCTTCAGGAAGCCTTGGGGGACGCCCTTGCTTCTCAAAAGCCTGGCCGTCGTCCTGGCTTATGTGTCCTGGGCCTTCAGCATGGGCATAGCCAACAGCCGCTCCTGGCGCGTGTGGGAATTCAACAGCCAGAGCATCGCCGTCATGTACATTGGACTTTGGGAAACTTATTACGTCGAAACCTTTAACGTGACCGGCCTGAACCTGAATGTGTCCGTGTCCGCCAAGCTCAACGCGAGCTGGGGCATTCCGGATGAGATCTACTACGGCCAGGACCTGCTGCTGCTGGCCAACTTCCTGGCGCCCGTGGCCCTGGTGTTCAGCACGCTGGCCGTCTGGGCCAGCTGGACCCGCTCCCCGTACCCCCTCTTCTTCCGCTCCTGCTACAACACTGCCGCCGTCCATCTCTTCCTCAGCTGCTTCTGCCTCACGCTCACCGTGGCCTGGAACTTCATCGTCGACCTTTTCGGCCAAACCACCCTGGAGTTTCCACAGAAGTTTCCTGTGAGCAAAGAGATGATCTCCAGTAAGCGTATCTCCTACGTGCTGCCGCTGGGCGTCCTGGCCTGCATCTTCTCGCTCGTCGGCGCCATTATCTTCGTCATGGACAGCTGCGCCATGGAGGAGGAGAAGGAGGAGGAGCCCAAACTGTTGATGCCAATGGTCTGAATGGAGGGCCCGCTCTCCGCCATGGCTGGCAGGCACTTTCCTGAAGAAATGTCCTGTGTACGCTTCATAGTGTTGTTACCATTTAGGCGTTTCAAATAAAACAGGCTTGGCTTTCCAGGGTGTCTCTGAAGCTCGTATTCTCCTCCCCTGCTCCCTTCTGCAAGCTGCTCCTTTCTTGGGAGCTGCTCACATGCTGAAACCTGTAGGCAAACATATTCTGTATCTATGGTCACAACGCAAAGGCCCTGGCCGGTGTGGCTCAGTGGTTGAGCATCGCCCCACACACCAGATGGTGGCCGGTTCAATTCCGGGTCAGGGCACATGCCCGGGTTTTGGGCTTGATCCCCAGGAGGGGGCGTGCAGGAGGCAGCCGACCCCTGATTCTCTCTCATCACTGATGTTTCTCTCTCTCTCCCTCTCCCTTCCTCTCTGACGTCAATAAATAACCTACAGAGTCCACACCTCAGGCGAGCAGTGAGACGTGCGTAAGTTGAAGTGCGTCCAGGCCAGCAGTGGGGCCTGGGAGTGAGACCAGGCGAGGCCGCACATGGGCTGTGAAGAGCCGGCCGTGTGCGGTCATCGGCCGGGACCCGCTCACGCCTGACACGGCTGCAGCCGGGAGCTCGTGGGCAGCGGCCAGCAGAAGCGCCCTCTGACCTCTGAGCGGAGCCTGGAAGGACGGCGCTGCAGTGAGTGGAGGGAAGAGCAGTGGGCTCCGATCCCAGAGGCTGCTTACAGGTCCTGGTCCCCTGGCCGCCGAGTCCCGGCTTGTGCCCTGGAGGGACCTGCTGATACGGTGACATGGCCACAGTGACAGGCACAGGGGCCCGGAGCCTCCGGGGTTGGCGAGCAGGGGGGCCAGGGTTGGCGAGCAGGGGGGCCACACGCATCAGCGGCAGAGCCCTCCCGGCTCCCAGTCCAGCTCCGCTCCATCTGGCCGAGGGCAGCGCCGGGCCTGGCTCTGACTGTGCAATGGGCAGGCTGGGCTGGGCTGGCCCCCTGGGCACAGGCTGGGCGGCAGGGAGGACTCTACCTTCTGCAGGAACAGGAACCAGCCAGCAGAGGGCGACAGTCTCCCACCTCCGAAGACAGGCAGCTGGGCTAGAGGGGGTGGTGGGGGGAAGACCACACCTGGTTCCCCTTCAGCAGGGTCAGGGGGAGGCTGAGCGAGGGCTCTGGGGCCAGGTGGGCACCCAGCTGCCCTGGGAGGCCTGTGCCGCCTGCCACTCTGCAGACGGGTCCCCTCCAGTGGCCGCACTGCGCAGGCCGAGCCCTCCAGGAGCTGGACGCCAGCACAGACTTGGTGCTCAGGGCATTCGGGGGTGTGGGGAGAAGCAAGCAGAGTGCCCACCTGGGGTCTGCACCCCTCTGTCTAAGGGGGTTTGAGGGCCCTGGGGCTGCAGGCAGGACCTGGGGGATTGGTGAGCGGCTGGGGCCCGGACTCAGCAGGTCCCTGGAGCTGCAGGGAGCGCGGAGGGTGCTGTGCGAGGCATGGGGGCTCCAGGGGGTGAGAGAGGCTGCCACCGAGGTGGGGTGGCATCAGGGACTTGGACCAGGAGGCACCGGGGCAGAGCCACGCCTCACAGAGCAAATGCAGGAAGTCAGCCGGTTTGCAGACCCCGAATCCATTTCTTTTCGAGGTAAAACAAAATCTGCCAGAGAGGCAGGCGGCGGAAGCCAGGCCCAGGAAAAATGCTAGTGATGGCGCTTTGTCATCTAAGCCACAGACAGGGGGGCGCGGGGAGGCGGGGCGTTCTCCACGCAAGGCCCTCACCCCAATGCAGCCGGACAATGCCAAGGTCACCAGCTGGGTGGGACAAAGAGAGCAGCCCGCCCAAGGGCACTGGTGCAATGACAGGACCCCTGACCGCTGGGGGTGGAGGGGCTGGGGGAAAGGGTGAAGCCCATCAGAGCAATGGCCACAGGGTGAGGGGCCGCTTACCCGGAGGTCGCAGGTAAAGGAGACACAGACTCTGGGCAGCCCAGGGTTCCGTTTTCAGCTCTGCCCTTTAACTCTGTGTGCCCTTGAGAAAGTTGCTCGCCCTCTCTGTGCTGCAGTAGCCTCACCTGTTTCATGGGCCACAGCTGCTCCGCACAGGAGAGTGGGGTGATTGTGTGTGTGTGTGTGTGTGTGTGTGTGTGTGTGTGTGTGTGTGCCCCGCTTGCCCTGAGGGCTTTCCGCTTCCTAGTCAGCACCCGGGCCTCACCCCCTCCCTCCCCCAGCCTCCAGGGACGGCACAGGCCCCTCTGGACCTCTGGCATGGACTCTGGCCGGGCCACTGCTCTCCAGTCTCCTTTCAATCCCAGCTGTCACAGCCCAGCAGGAAAGAGATGGCACGCCCAAAGGATTTTCTGGAAGGACTTTGGCAAAGGGACTGTTGACAGATGTGAGAGCCGGGGCAGCAGCCAACCCGGGAGGTGGCACCGCAGAGACAGAGACCCTCCAAGGTCTCAAGGGGGCGGGGCCATGTGAACATGCAGGATGGGCACGTGACCAACCAGAAGTGGACAAGGGGGTGGGCCATGTGATCAACTGGAAGTGAGCACGTGAATAAGGGTGTGGGCCTCGTGATGGTGAGCAAGGGGGCAGGGCCATGTGACGATTGAAGGGATGCGGCCAGGATCCCCCAGAAGCTGAAGAGGCAGGAAGGACCCTCCCTGGAGCCCTCGGAGGGAGCACAGCCCCCGACACCCTGATTTCAGATTCTGGCCCCAGAACCGGGAGAGCCCCTGTTCCTGTGGGTTAGGCCGGTCTTAGTCATCGGAGCCGCAGCCCCAGGAAACGGGCCCCTCCTTGTCCCTCCTTTTGGGGCTTTGACCAGGTTCTGGGAACAGCTGAGCCCTGTGCCCCAGTAGGGGGACCCCCTAGACCTCTCACTGCGGGGCTCACAGGGAGACCCATCCCTGTACCTGTGCCTGTGCCCTGCCTCCCGCTCCCCCGGGGGCACCTGGGCAGTGACGTGCAGTGGGCACACCAGGCGGGCTGCTGGGTGGGAAGCGCAGGCCGCGTGGCTGCCACCTGGCCGACCCCCCAGCGGCAGATGGTGCAGGGTCCTCCCCAGCCCCGCCCTCACCTCCCGGCCTTCCCCCTCATGAATCCAGCCCGGGCCTCGGCTCCCTGGAGCACCCGGGTTGACAGGAGCCAGCAACTGGGTTGTGGTGCCCGTATTCCAGAATCTAGATGCCAAAACGGAGGCTCAGAGAGGGGAGCAGAGGGCCCTACCCCCAGCCCCCCTCCCCCCTCCACTCAGCCCAGCTCACAGGTGCTCCCCCAGCTGCCTCCTGGTTGCCATGGTGTGGGAGGAGGAGGAGGAGGAGGAGGAGGAGGAGGAGGAGGAGGAGGCAAAGGAAGTGGAGGAGGAGGAGATTTCTGGGAAGCAATCCCCAAATTCACACCAGCTGGCCCCGCCTTCCTCATCCCTCTCTCCAGCGTCAAAGCCTCCTTTTGGGCAGGTAAGCTGGGGGTGGGGGGTGGCTCTTCCTGGCCAGGCAGCCAGGAGCAAAGGAGGTCACGGAGGCCGCGGGTCCAGGTAGTGGGTTCTGGGACCCCCACCTCACCCAGCTGATTTCCTGGGCCTGGGCTCCATCGCCCTCCCCCAGTTCCCAGACCAGGCGGCTGTTTCCTGCCTCCCTGCCTCCCTGCCTCCCTGCCTCCGCACATGCAGTTCTCTCCACCTGGAAGGCCTTTCCTCGTCCTTCAGGTCCCAGCTCGGCTTTAACTCCCCTGGAGAACCTTCCCTGAGTCCCTCAGGGCGCTCCCTGCATCCTGCACCCCCCCCCCCAGTCACAGCCATTTTCTGGGTGATGCTCTCTGGGGGTGGTGAGGTCTTGGGGTGCTAGCTCTGCCTTTGTGCCCCAGCCCCCGGCACAGACAGGTGCTCAGTAAATCCAGAAGGAAGGGAAGGAAGGGGGGAGTGGAGGGAGCAAGGGAACCTGTCATAGGATCGGAGAGGATCTGGACCGTTAGCACCTGGCACGGGGCTGGGCACGGATCAAAGCCCACTCCCTTCCCGCTGCCTCCACCTGAGCCTGGGCCGCAGCACCTTCCGCCTCCTCCGATTTGGAGCCGGCTCAGGGGTCGTCTCCACACCCGCAGGCCTGTGTCTGCTGCCCATTAGGATGCGAGGTCATGACCCCAGGAGGCAGACGGGCACCTGACTTCATAAGGAGCTGGTGTGTTAGGGAGAAAGGCCTCCATTCTCGGAAATCCCAAACTGTGGGAGCTTGCCAGGGCCTGAGGGCTGACCTTGAGCAAGGGTTTTCCCCCTGAATACTTTCTGCAAACCAAGCCTTACCTGCTGCCATTATATAAAACAGATGGAAGCTAAGCTGCTTGGGGCAAAGGGGTGGGTGTTGGAGGCGCCTGGGAGAGGGGCGGGGGAGATGGGGGTTGGGGTTGGTCCTGGCGGTGGGAGGGGGCAGCCAGGAGGGAGGGGGAGCCCTGGGAGCCCTGGGCTGACATCTACTAACCGTACAGAAGGGCTTCAATGTTCAGAACTGCGTGTTCATGCCCGTGTGGCTGGGCCAACGAACTCATCTTTCACAGCAAGAAGTCAGTCTATACACACAATGTCCATCGTGCCCAAAGCTGTTCAGTCTACCAATCCATGAACCCGGTATATTCCTCCACTTGTTTAGTACGTGCTCTTTCTAGAAAATTGAGAGTAATGTTTACTTATTTCTTTTTAACGTTATATGTTTTTCATTTTTTACAATTTTAATTTTTACTTGAATTTTACAAAAGAAAAAGAAAGAGAAGTTGATGGAATTGCTGAATTCATAGAAATATTTCCTCTAGACAAGAGAGACTTCCCCTAAAATATCCCTTCAAGATTAAAAACAACAACAGTGAGAACGTTAAAGGTTGAAGTCATTATGATTTTCTCCAAGGACATGTTTTCTTGCCCCAGGCAATGTATCAGTGAAAATTCTGCTCTGTGAGATGTCTAGGATTTTTAAGAAAATATTTTATTGATTTTTTACAGAGAGGAAGAGAGAGGTATAGAGAGTTAGAAACATCGATGAGAAAGAAACATAGGATCTTTATGGTTTCATGACTTACATTGAAGTAATTTATCCATTTTGAGTTTATTCTTGTGTATGGTGTAAGTTAGAAG